CTTGCAAGTCTCATCAGGGATAGATGCCACCTGTAAAACATCTTATACAAATTTTCTTTATATGCAATTGACATTATCATTTTATAATTTTGAGACCACAATTTTTGCCATTTTTCTAAATCAATCCCATATCCAAAAATTTTCCCCCAAGCAATCATCGTTTCTTTAACTTGTTCCTCTTCCAATTTAAATTCTAATGAATGTCCATAAAGTTTTTTTTTACCTTTTCATCAGTACTCATCAAAATTTTATCTAAATCAGTCAACTTATCATAAATTCCTTCTGTTTTCCAAGTCAGTTTTATTTTTGAAAGAGATGTATTTATAATATCAATTAAACTTCTATAATGGGATGAACCCATTAGCTAAATTGATTAATTGCAGGTAGGCATAACTTCTAAAAAATGTGGATTCATTTGGAATTCCCTGTTGTTTAATTAAAATAGAAGCAATGGCTATAATTTGACATTATTGTATCCATATTGTGTGCAGTTCATCTTGCTTATCTCGGTAAAAACATTTTCACTGTGGAAACAATCTTTTAACCTAAAAGCTTTTGTATGAATCCAATCTTTATGTAGTAAATAGTTATCTTTATATAGATAGTTGGGATGATCTAAAAAAAAAAATCAAAGGAGGGAAAAAAGGAACTAAATATTTCATCTGCAGTTGCTTGGCCATTAAACCACTTAGTAATGCATTTTATTGAAAAGCAATTTACCGCTGTAAAAGGGAAGAGCACATATTTCCACTTTACCATCTCAGTTATATCCCAGGAGATCGTTCCATTACCATGCAGATAATGGTGACGCAGATGCATTAATTGATTTAGTTGAAATGCATCAAAACCAAACTTCAGATTAGGTATAGCAAAGCTTCCTTGACACTTCAATCAGTTTAAAACAGAACTGGCCAATCTAATGCGATTCCTCACACTTTTCCATTCAGAAAGCTTGTTCTTAGATAGAAGTAATAATTTGGTATTGGAAAAAAATAATTTGGGAAGTATCACTATTTTAATTATCATAGATCTTCCTAAAACTTGAGGATTTTCCCCCCTTTCATTTTTATCATTTCGTCCTTTAACCAGCATGAGAAGATAGAATTTCAATTTAAAGTTTTTCTATTTCTTTTAAGGACAATAATTCATAGAGATTTGATTCAGCAATAGGTGAGTTTTAAATGAGCTATGTTTTCTGTGTATCTTTTAGTTTCTATATTTCATTTCTTTTCCTATATTAATTTTGAATACCAAGATTATATGAAATGTATACAGAGTACTACTGATTGTGGATTGGAAGTAAAACTATAGACAGTGTGCCAATACCAAAAATGTTAAGTTGATGGGATTTATTTTTAGTATTAATTATCGTAACTTGTGAAGAAACTCATAACAGATTGGGTGTCCAACAAGGAGAGCAAAATGTATGGGGGAAAGTGCAGAGAGAATATATGTATATAGGTATGAACTGGTGTAATGGATGACTTGTATGAAAGACCTTGGGGAAAGAGAGAAGGAGATGCTGCCTAGGAAACAGGTAAGAGAGAGGTAAGCCTCCGTGTCTTAACAGTCAGAGAAAAAACTTAGGAAGGACCTGCCCTAATGGAGCAAGCAGTTGAGAATGGTGGTGGGTATTCGCCCCCTTTGAGATTAGTGAAGATGTATCCTCATATGAGTCTGACATGTTGGAAGTGCAAGAAGAAGAAAGGTACATTTTATTATATGTGGTGGTCTTGCCCAGAGACCCAAAAATATTGGCTAAAAATCAAAAAATGGTTGTAAGACATTGCTAAAGTACAAATAGAAGTCGAACTGGAATTTTTATTGGGAATATTTAAGAAAAAATACGGGAGAAATATAAAATATATAATATTACATATTCTGACGGCAGCCAGAATTGCTTTTGCCCAATGCTGGAAACACCCATCTATGCCTTCAGATGAACTGGTTATTCAAAAAAATAATTACTTGTGCCAAGATGGATAAACTAACTTTGATGTTAGAAGAGAGAGAGGAGACCGAATACTATAAAATTGGGGGAAAATGGTATGACTGGATCAAACAAAGATAATTAAAAGACTGATGAATTAAGGCTAAGCAATATATGAGTTAAATGTTTATAGTTGCATAAATTGTATATATTTGTAAATAATGCACAAAATAGTATAAGAAAATTGTCACAACTTGACAAATTTAAGAGATTTTTATTTTTTACTTGTTTTACTTATGTTTGTTTTTTAAAGTTATAAATGATCAATAAAGTTTTTTTTTTTTAAAAGGAAGAGAATGGCAGTGGGAAGTTTGTGCATTCAGACTTTCAAGATTCATTAATGTAGACTTATGAAAAAAATATAATTAGTTAATGTTGTTGTATGTCCTCTCTGGTTTACCTGGGAAGGCTGGCATTTTCAAATGATGCAAATTACAATGATGCACTATTGATGTATTTTATCCAGGTTGGATGAAGTTACAATATTATTATAGCAATAGCAATAACAATAGCACTTAGACTTATATACCGCTTTATAGTGCTTTACAGCCCTCTCTAAGCAGTTTCCAGAGTCAGCATATTTCCCCCCAACAATTTGGGTCCTCATTTTATCCACCTCAGAAGGATGGAAGGCTGAGTCAACCTTGAGTCTGGTGAGATTCAATCTGCCAGATTGCAGGCAGCTGGCTGTAGCAGAAGTAGCTTGCAGTACTGCACTCTAACCCCTGTATCACTAAAGCTCTATACCATTCATGGTTTCCATCAGACTCCTAGGTCATAAAATGTAGACTATGGCTTTATTTCAATTGTAAAAAATAGGAAGACAGGAGCCTCCTCATGCTTAATTTAATTGATCTAAAATAATGCCCTTAGTGCTAAGAATGGCTCTTGAACTGCCATACATCCTTCTAACTTATAAAACTATACTTGTACAGTATACTGCATGAGTCAAAAAGAGGGCTGTGAATATATTTACAGACCCTTCATGTCCTGGACATAAACTGTTCCAATTCCTACCCTCAAAATGACACTATAGAGCACTGCACACCAGAACAACTAGATTCAAGGACAGTTTTTCCCCGAATGCCATCACTCTGCTAAACAAATAATTCCCTCAACACTGTCAAACTATTTACTAAGTCTGCGTTACTATTACTATTAATCCTCCTCAAAAAGCAGGACATTAGCAGCAATATCAAATGAGAAATTGAACATACTCAAAAAAGGGTATTAGGCAATTTCAGGTTTTACAATGGATTTTTCATTGCTAATTGTGATGGTACTTATAAAATGCCGCCATATAATTTACCTCTGCATAAGCAACTTAACTTCCCCTCCCTTCCCTTCACCTATCCCAATTTAAATTGTACATTAGTCAAACCACTTTATACTAATGATGACATGAACTGAAGCTTATGAAAGCCTATGCCTTTTAATGAAATTTGTTAGTTGGAAAAGCTGCAGTTAATTTCTTATTTTTACTGGCATAAATGTGAGTTGATCACATGACATTGCAACCAGATGCTTCCTATTATAATAATTCCTTGTGTCAGAAGCTCTCTATTAACTGAAAAGGCAATGCTCTTTCTAGCTACAGTTCTCATTGCAGAAGCAGGAGCTACAACTATCATGGAAGAAACATTAACAAAGGGCAGTGTAGTTTCTCACTGAAAGGGGCAAGTGACTGAAATGCCCAGCTTTTAATCTTTTAGCAAGGTAACTCATATAGAGTCCCTATAAAGGCATATAAGACAATGGGGGTAAGGTGGGGTTAAGGCTTTACAGGGCATCCAGCAATTTCATTTCCTTTTAAATCAGGAACAGATATGTTGTGTTTTGTGTTCCTTGCATTGTTACTTGTTTTAAAATATTTTTAACAATTTATAATTGTTCAGCGTTAATAGGAATTGGCAGAATAGTATTAGTAATATTTAATATATTACTTATAATTCATATTTATATATCATTTGTGTTTATAATTTTTATATAATGCCAGCTGACAATTGTGATTTCTCATTATTGTATATATAATAATTTATTTTAATTTGAATATTTTAATAATATGTTATTACTATCTCATTTGCCTATCCCAGGTCCTTGAGAAGGATGCTATAGATCAGGGGTGCTTACATCTGGCCTGCGGGGCTGCCCTGGAAACAGTGAAGGACCAGCCCCTGGTGCCTTTGCCAATGAAAACAGAGCTTGGGAGCCCGTTTTCTCTGGCAGAGCGCTCGGGCGACCAAAGGGGCTCCCAACATGGCCACGCCTATCCCTGCCCTCCTGAGGTCAAACAGAACCCTGATGTGGCCCTCAATGAAATTGAGTTTTACACCCCTGCAATAGATGGATAAAATCCCCATAAACATCTAGCTGACTGTGTGACCAATCATAATAATCATATGTTTAAATGTGAAATAGATGAGCACTGATTAACTTCTGGTTCTCTGTGTTCAGTTATTTGCCAGGAAGGGCAAGTGTTGCTTGGTTGTCAGTTTTATATGAGCTGTTCAGACCTGCAAACATTCATAGAATCTTGATCCTGGCAAATAATGAATATAGTTTTAATAGTCCTGGCTACATTTTAAAATGAAGTCAGAAAAGTGAGGAGACAGAATGACTAATTGCCTGGAGCATTTGTTACAGAGGATGCTTCCAGGCAGTTGTTAATGCTACCAAAAAATATTGTGAAGCCAGTTCTACTTAATGGGTTTATCATGGGAAGAAAAAAACAACTGGAAAAATTATGGAGTGAGGCCAGAGCAATTACAAAATTATCCTGGGAAGTTTGTGAAACAATATTTTGCTTTACTTGGGAAGTCCCTATACTGCTATTAACCCCGAGACTATGGGGGGAAGCGGGGGTGGGGAACAAGGGGGGGGGAGCCAAGATTGAAAATATCAGTTCAAATTCCAAGCCCAAATGAGAATTGCCCAACTGGGATTTCAAAGTTACAAATAAGGCCGTATTTACCAGACTCTGTGTTTTTTGCTTGCTTTCTCCCACAGGCCACCATGTTCTACAGCAGAGCACAGAGCTGTATGTTAGCAGCTGGCTACCTTGCTTATCTCCTGGTGGGTGCTCTCATCTTCCAGGTTCTGGAAAAAGATGCCGAGAGACTAAACCAAGGCATTGCCTTTAGAATGAAGGAGGACTTTCTGAAGAACTTTACCTCCCTCAGTGCAGTGGAGGTGAACATCTTTGTGGAGGTAGGCCATTCTTTCTGAACTGAATCCAGAAAATAATGAAGCCAAAAACTGTGGTGCTTTGAATATAATCAGTGAAGATAAAAAATTTCCTTCCCTTCCCATCCCATCCCGTCTCCTTCCCTTTTTAATTATGAAATTGATGTATGTATTAATTAGAAGTTTAAAAGAAAAGGCTATGATATTTTGAAAAGGTTTTATCTTTTCTATTCAATTTTATTTGGTAGATGTTCCTAGAATTGGAAGATGCAGCTTGGTAGCAAAAAAACACATAAAGAAATAATTGTTATTTGATCATCACTTATGGTTATTGCAATGTCAAATGTCATTTTAATTACAGAATCTGATGGAAACCATTAGGAGGGGCATATATCCAGCAGAAAATGAATTCTCTGATGAACACAACAATTGGGATTTCAGCAATTCTTTCTTCTTTGTGGGTTCTATGTTATCCACAATAGGTAAAGTGCTTATGCTTCTCCCTTAAATGTTTGTCTATCAATCACATTTGTATAGTCAACCCTGTATATGTACAAGCAACAAAATGATACAAAACCGTGAGCTTGAAATTTCAACTACACTTGTTTTAATACATATGTAGAAAGAGGCTGTGATCTTATCAAAAGGGAAACAGTTAAGAAGATAAAATACAAAGCTGAGGAACGTCTCTGGTCATAAATATAAATAACTTTTTAAAAATCCATTTAACCTCATTCCATTCACTAAAAAGTTCACAGGCCCATATATCAAGGTTTCTCATTTTATGATGCAGCAATGTTATGAAACAGACTGCCGTGGGAAAATCTATCCAATGCGAAAGGTCACTACCAATGCTTGTAATAAACTATTAGCCCAGCCCCAATGACAATCCAACATTTTTAATTGTTTAGATTTTTAAAACGTTTTTTAAAAGACTTTAAAAAATTTTATGGGGCCATTTTAGTATACTGATTAAGGTGCTGGCCTAGAAACCAAGAGACTGTGAGTTCTAGTCCTGCTTTAGACATGAAAGCTGGCTGGATGACTTTGGGCCAATCATTCTCTCTCAGCCCAACTGACCTCACAGGGTTGTTGTTGTGGGAAAAATAGGAAAAGAATTAGGCATGTTTGCTACCTTTAATTATTTATAAAGTAGTAAAGGCGTAATAAAAATCTAATAAATAAATAAACATGTTTTCTGCACAATTCAAGAAAATTTATGCAGAATCACAGCTTTTATTCAGCATGTCATACCAATTCTTCTAAATCAGGAGTCCTGAACCTCTGCTCCATGGACTGGCACTGATCCGTGGCATGCCAGAAACTGGACCGCATAAACAAGTGAAGCCCCATCCGTGGGAAAACCTCTTTCCAAGGAACCAGTCCCTGGTGCCCCAAAGGTTGGGGGCTGCTGTTCTAAATGGACTACATTAAAACCACAAACACTTTTCTGCAGATGCATTTCTTCTTTATGCATTATCATGTCTGTAGTATATGAGAGAATATCATTATTTTGTATTTTCTACATGGAAGACATAATAACCATCTTCTCCGACTTTCTAAATGCATGACAAATACAAGGGCAGCTGATAGGGAAGAAAGAATATGATTAGTATTTGCTCAAAACTGTGGTGGACAAGAAATAGGGCTTGTTTGGGTCCCCTGAGAAGGCTAAGCCTTTGGACTTGATGTAACCCAGGCTACTTTAACTTTTGGCTAACTTGTTTAGAAGAACAGATACATGGGTTTGCTGATTATTTCCGGTTGCTTGGCTAAGTCTTCTTGGGATTTCAGCCTAAAACAACATTGTCTGTTCTTTAAACCATGTAGAACATGTTGCTTATTTCAACTGCATGCTTAGAGTGGAAATAAACATGAGTCAATACAACTGAAAGAGTATTGTAATATGAGAAGATTGTGATAATAGAAATATTCTTATAAAAATGTGTGTGAATTATTTAAGACCCCAAACAATTTTGGCATTGGTCACTATTGCTGTTCCTCAACTGCATTCCACCCCTATCAGTTGCCCTTGAATGGTCTTTATTTTTTGGTACCAAGGACAAGAAAAAGATAAAAGATGTGCAGAGAAACTGCAAAATTACATTTAATATCTAGGTTTCATTGTCGCCTCAGCAACTTTTTTTATCTTGGTTTTTATCTCCTTTAAAAAGTTGCATATGTCTAGTAAAGAAATCCAGTTATGCTGATAATCAAGAAAATGAAGGCCTTAGAGAACACAAGGAAGGTGACATCTGGAAACTCCAAATTAATGACATCCTGAATGAAAAAGAATTACTTTTCAAATTGTATCTTGCTTGAAAAGGCAGGACCAAGTACCAATAGTAATAAATAATATACATCTTTAATTGGGGTTTTAGTCTGTCATCTGCTCAGGTTAAAGGGCAAACTTTTTGTTGTAACATAACATAATGCTCACCAGCATATTCTCTGTAAATTTCATATTTTCACAGGCTACGGAAACCTCTCTCCCAAAACAGCTGGTGGTCAGATTTTCTGTGTCTTTTTTGCTCTCTTTGGAATTCCTCTGAATATTGTCTTTTTGCAGCATATTGGCAAGATGCTCTCCATGGTCTGCGAACGGCTAGCTAAATGGTTGTATAGGAAAGGTGTAAAGAAGGTAAATTTTTTTAAAAATTATTCCATGATTATTTATGAAAATAAGCTTAAGATGATAATTTAACTGAAGTATAGTCTGATTCATGTGTCAGTCAAACAGAAATAACCATCATTTTAATCTGTTTTGCAGCTGCACATTACCAACAAAACATATCCATACTAAAGTTACAGTGATGTAGCTATCAGGATATACTGAATAGCTGTATAATTTCATTAAATCTATTTCTGGAAACAAAATATGTCTAGTCCATTAATCTGATTTATGAGTTAATGTACAGAACCAGAGGCCCCCAAACAGTTCAAATGGTTCATTTAATCCAGACCAAACCAGGGCACAATATCTCAGATTTTAAAAGAAATCTGCTCCTGTTTTCCTGTACTGAATTAACTCCAAATTGCATCAAATGATTGCACCATTAGAGAGGTTTAAGTAAACTTCTGTTTTAATATGATAAATTCAAAGCAAATTATCAGGCAGAAATGCTTCCCCTCTCAACCCGAAGCTCTCCAATATGCAGAATACCCCAACTGACTCCATTGTCAAACTCGTCCTAAACAGGAGAAGCCAACCTTGGCAACTTTAAGACTTGTTGGACCTCAACTGTCAGAATTGCCCAGCCAGCATTCATGTAGAATTCTAGGGAATTTGGGGAGTTGAAGTCCTCAAAATTTAAAGTTTCCAAGGTTGGACACCCCTATCTTAAAATATTTCTCTTAAACTTTGACATCTAAGCCTGCCACATACGCAAACAAAGAATACAATCCAATTCTTATTACTTAACATTTTTTTTACCCTTTGCTCTGAAGACTATCTTTGTTGTTCTCTCTAAGCTATCCCAATTTTTCTCATTTGGTGTGTGTCATCAAGGCAGTGTTGGTTCTTGGTGATCCAATAGATATACCTTATTCATGATCAACCAATTTATATTATCTATCCACATATGGTAGTTTTATTGGTGAAGTTCAGGAATGGTTTATCACTGACACAGTTTGAAATGATGCCTTTGTAGTTACCAGGCTTTCTATATTGCTGCTGCTGCTTGAATGCTATGGAGCTCCGTAACCACCTTCACTCCTAGCATAGATGATCCTGGTGGTAGTATAGGCAGATTAACAGAGTTGGAAGGAATGTTGTAGGTCATCTAGTCCAACCTCCTGCCCAAGCAGGAGATCCTACACCATTTCTGACAAATGGCAGTCCAATTTCTTCTTGAAAGTCTCAAGTGATAAAGCTCCCACAACTACTGAAGGCAAGCTGTTCCATTGGTTGATTGTTCTCATGGTCAGAAAATTTCTCCTTATTTCCAGATGAAATCTCTCCCTGTTCAGTTTCCATCCATTATTCCTTGTTTGGCCTTCTGGTGCTTTAGAAAATAGCTTGACCCCTTCCTCTCTGTGGTAGCCCCTCAAATATTGGAACACTGCTATCATGTCTCCCCTGGTCCTTCTCTTCACTAGACTAGCCATGCCCAATTCCTATAACCGTTGTTCATATGTTTTAGTCTCCAGTCCCCTAATCATCCTGGTTGCTCTTCTCTGTACTTTTTCTAGAGTCTCAACATCTTTTTTATAGTGTGGTGACCAAAACTGGATGCAGTACTCTAGGTGTGATCTTACTAAGCCTTTATAGAGTGATATTAGTACCTCACTTGATCTTGATTGTATCCCTCTGTTAATGCAATTTAGGATTGCATTAGCTTTTTGGGCTGCTGCTGCACACTGCTGGCTCATATTTATCTGGTTGTCCACTAAGACTCCAAGATTCCTCTCACAGTTACTGCTATTGAGCTTGGTTTCACCCAGTCTATATGTGTACTTCTGGTTTTTCTTGCCTAAGTGTAGGACTTTACTTTTCTCTACATTGAATTTCATTTTGTTACATAGGGCCCAGTGTTCAAATCTGTCAAGATCTTCTAGGGTGTTAGCTATTCCTGCCAGCTTTCCCAGCATTTCCCAGCATTCCTTGTTCAGCCCTCCCAATGACTCAGCACCAGACTTGAGGGTGTCCAATTTCTCTACATTCCTAAAGACGGCTCAAAAGATAGCACTCAGATCAATACACTAAATGCATTATAACACTGTGCAAAAGAGTGGGAAAGTAATATGCAACAATGTAGCCCATAAATCCACAAGTAGTCCTCAACTTACAATCATTCATTTAGTGGCCATTCAAAATTACAATGGTACCAAACTGGTGTATGACTGGTCCTCGCACTTACAACTGTTGCAACACCACCATGGTAATAGGATCAGAATTTGGGTGCGTGGCAATCGAGATAGTTATGATAGTTGCAGCATTCCAGGAACATGTGATCTCCATTTGAAACCTTTCCAGTCGGCTTCCAACAAGCAATGAAAATGAGAGGAAGCTGAATTCACTTAATAATTGCTTGATTCACTTAACAACTGTGACAAAAAGGCATAAAATCAGGTATGGCTCACTTAACAGCTGTCTTGCTTAGCAACAAAAAATCTGGTCCTGATTGTGGTTTTAACCTGAAGACTACCCGTTTGAGATAGGAGGCAATATAAGGCCATAGAAGTCCTGGAAATAAGCAAGCAGGTAGACAGGCAGGCAGGCCAGCAGAGGCAGCTGTCTGTACCCAGGGCAATTTTCGTGTCTCAAATCAGCATTTTTTCCTTCATTTTTCAGAAAACAGCAAGGGGCTTGACACTTCTGTTCTTCCTGGTTATGGGAATACTAGTGTTTCTTTGTGTGCCATCGGTCATCATTCGAAAAATAGAGGGCTGGTCCTACGGTGAAGCGATTTATTTTACATTTATTACCCTTAGCACCATTGGGTTTGGAGATTATATGATAGGTAAGTATGTAACATTTTCAAAACAATACTTCCTACTTGGATGAGGATGGCTCCTACAATACAGTATGTTCTGATGCAGTTAAGAGACTAAATGAAGACTTGACTTTTAGAATGGCTATAGGGTTGAAGAGGCCCTACTTTGGGCATTCAAAGTATGTGGTTGCAACACTGTGCTGACCAGATATTACAAGGCTGGGTTGGGAACTTTTTTAGCCTGTGGGTAACACGTGTTGCTGAATAACATTCAAAGGAGTGTTGCTGCATACCTGGACATCTCTAGATGCACTGGGCACAGTCCTAAGTTCAATGGTCTGAAGCAACATCCCCAAGAGAGAGAACAATCACCTTCCATTTACTATAATTAAAAAAGAGTGGACTTCAACTCCCAGAATTCTCCAGGTAGCAGATTGAACCCATGGGCTGAGTTCATATAGCCCACAAGGCATAACTATATTCTAGTGTCGTGCATTAAGCCAAATAAGACTAGTATTTTAGATCCTAATTTTCTCCTTTTTCTTGAGAAGGTCCCCTTCCTTTTAATTTAAGAAAGAGTTCCTTCCAAAAGAGAAAATCCAGCTCTTTTACTACTTGTGCTTCCCTGGCTTTGGAGCAGACTATGCCAATGTCAGTTTTCAAATGGATCTTGTTGAGTTTGAAGAGAAAATGATTATAGGTTTTGCCTTGAATTACAAATTCAGTCCAACTTTTTAATTATATGGTTGTTTATACATATGTGTGAGCCTTTAGTTAAAAACTAAGGGAACAATAATAATTACTATTGTTAGGAATAGGAACATGGACTGGGGCCCCAAATCTTCTGCAGAATGTCTGTAAAGCTGTCCTTAATTTTCAGTGGAACAGAATTCAATAATGGTCTTATGTAGGAGAAGTGACATCATTTTTCTGACACAAGATAATGACAAGTATTATGATGATAATGATAATACTGTATACACCAATGTGTTTTTCAATCTTGGCAACTTTAAGATGTGTGACCTACAACTCCCAGAATTCCCCAGATTCTGCATGAAGGCTGACTGACGAATTCTGAGAGTTGCCAAGACTGAAAGACATTAATATACATTGTGTCAAGCATCCAGAAAGTATCCATGATATCAATCACTCTGAGATGTTATCTCTCCAATTGATTTATTAGGAACAGATCTGGCATGTCAAAAGCAATTTCCCAAGTGAAAGTTTTTTCGAGCGTTACACAGAACCCACCTTCTCTCCTCCCTTCTCTCCTTCCACTTCTACACTTCATAAATCATGAGAACCAATTAACTGCAACTGGAAATTCTTAATACCACACACAGAATAACCTTGAACATTTCAAATCCTCTAACTCTCTAAAAAAATGCGGCAGCTGAATTTCAAAGCTGAACACATTGTTTATCTAATTTGGAAGAAAACATCAAGTCAGGGGTGGGATGCTACAGGTTTTCCCTGGTTCTATAGAGCCGGTAGCTCTGAAGAGCAGCAGACACCGAACCGGTTCTGTCTTTGCTGCTCTTTGGCCCGCCCACCTGCCCAGGCTCTTACCTGTCCTTTATTTCCTGCTTTTTCAACCTCAGCTGCTTTATGTGGCCCAAAGAAGTTGAAAAGAGGCTTTTCAAACGCTGCGCACACGTGCGCAGCGCTTTTAAGGTGTCCAGGCCACACAGTCTAAGGTTGTTTTACACATGCGTGCAGAGCTCATCAGGCGCTTGTGTGTGTGAAGCGCTTATGCATGCGCAAAACATAGTCACAGAACCGGTAGTAACACCAATTGAATCCCACCCCTGATCAAGCTTGGGTTTACAATTCAGGGAGGAAATGAAGGAAGAAGAATGTGCAACCATGATGCAATTAAAGATAGAAACACATTATTATTTTATTTATTATGATCGTATATAAAATATGTATTCTGTATTCAGATAACATGCATTTGCTTTTTAAATTATTTAGCCTTATCCAGCTTTTCCTTCTGTGTTACTAGGGAGGCAACATGACAAATTGTACTTCCCTGGCTATCGGAGTGTGGTAGCAATTTGGATTATCTTTGGACTTGCTTGGATAGCACTACTGTTTAATTTACTGACAACATTACTGGAAGACCCAAATGAGAAACCCACTGAGGGTTATCTTCAGGTCAAGACAGTCAGAAAAAAAAATAAGAACTCAAAAAAGGATCCATCTTCTTCACTGGAAGATGGTTCAGAGTTACATTCTAGTAGAGACGGACAAAGAAATCAGTTATAATTGTAGACTGCTATTTGACTTTTCACTGTTATTTCATATCATTGCAGTATTTTGCTGGTTGCTTTGAAAAGTAGCTCACTGATTTTAAATTATATTTAAAATGTGAAATAAACAGCAAGCCTGCAAAAAACTATTCTGCTTTCCACAGTACATGTTTAACCTTCATAATACTGTATATTCTTTATAATATATTTTCTCAAATTTCTGCCACCTCAATTTTCAGAACTGCAGCTTAATAGCAGAACTATCACATTTGGACTGCAAAAATCCAAATAATTATCTAGTGGTCATCCAGATTATTACAGGTCAGGTCTGTAATCTATGTGGCCACCCAATTTAAAATAGGGGAAAATGGTCCTCACTTTTCAAAATTTTATAGGTGAATTATTAGTCTGTAAGATGAGAAACACTAATTTTACGCTTCAAATTCAAAGAGTTCAAGGTTTGCTTTAGGGGCAACAAATTTAGCATGAATTTCTTGCTTTCCAATAGCTTTTATCATCTATAAACATCGACTGTAAGAGTTGGAGAGGAACTTGGAAATCTAACCTAAGCCCTCGTACAGCACAGAAATCCAGTATTACCACATACCCACAGTGACCAACCAGGGCAGGAAGTCCATTCCTGCACATATGATGCAGTTCAGGGATTTTCAAATGTAGTCAAGCCATGGGATCTGTTTGAAAAAAACACACAACAGATTCTCTGATTAGGGTGATCCAGGGGTGGAGTCCAAATGTCTGAATGGAGAAAAAAACAAGCTCTTTACAAAAAAGTAAACCTAGCTCGCTTATCACTTATCATTTATATATAATAATTTGATGCATTTGTTCAAAAGTTGCAAATATGTCTGTTTTGGGCATTGTAAATATGGAGAAGAGAACTTCTCATGCTGATAGAAAATTTTGAGAATAAGTTATAATGACTTTCAGCTAAATCTTATTACAATGCCCTATAGGAAAAAAACACTGATTCTTATAATTCCCAAAAGCCAGGAGTGCTATATAATGTCTTTTAATAAAATATTATTATAGCTTATTTCTAAACCTTTTCTCTATACTTGAAAAAGTTAAACGTAGCTGAGCTGAAATATTTCGCCTTGTAGTTAGGATTTCTGAATGCCCAAACAAAGTGTATGTTGAAATAAATTTGGAGATAAATTCTTATTCAGCCTTAAGATTTCAAACATAGTGAAAATTGATGTTGAAAATATACTTTGTTTACATTTAACTTGCAAGGCAGCATTTATTTGTTCCCACCGTTTTCCAAAAATGAAGAAATCCCTCTAGTTAAACCCAGTTCCTAGAGATTACACAGACATGCTAATCTAGGTTTCTTTGCAATGTTATGGAAAAAGATTGGAAAACTATTATAAAATAAAGCAGTGGCAATTTTGCAGTTTATCCGACAGCCCTGAGATTTCCTGGTAGTTTCTACATCAGAATCTGAGTCTGTTTAGCTTTTACAAGACCAGCCAAAGTTGGCAAGAGGCTGCCACCTACAGTATTTCTTGATAAATCAATGCCAGTGGTTTATTGTTGCCTAGTGTGGATATTAAATATTTTAAGAATGTTTGTGTAACTTGCTAAAAGATTTATGGTTCAGAATTCCTTTCTTTTTGCAGTAAAAATTATACAGACTGTTTATGTGTAGTGCCAATGCCAAAACTTTAAGGCTGTCCTTGCTTTGAAAAAAAAACCCAAACCAAAGCAGTACTTTTAGAGTCCTTAGTAACTGAAGTGGGAGTGATTACAATGGGAACATTTTTCTTATTCTTTCTTCTTGATCATTAAGTTCTGGAAAAGCTAATGCACTTCAAGTTCCAATTATAAAGCAATGTAAGACCTATGATAGGTCTCCTCAGTAGCTGCCTTGTGGAATAGAGTGTCAAGAACAGAATTGCAGGAATTGGGAAGGTCTAGTCCAGTGGTGCATGCACTTGTGCATGCACGTTCATGTGCCAGCACCCAGAAGGCAATGTGTGTGTCTCCCATGCTCCCTGCGCATCTGCACGCAATCCCCACCCCCTTACCTGTACTGCACCTCCCAGCTGATTCTTAGCCTGTTTGAGGCCTCTTTTGGCTTCCCAGGCTTGAGGAAAGACTCTGCAGCCTGAAAAATAGGCCCGTTTCATCACTTCTGGTATTTCCGGAAATACAGGAAGTGATGAAATGGGCCTATTTTTCAGGCTGCAGAGGTTTTCCTCATGCCTGGCAGGCCAAAAAAGGCCTCAAACCAGCTGAAGATCAGCAGGGAGGCGTGTGCATGTGCAGTGAGGTAAGTTTGCCTGTGGCTTGCATGCTGGCACAAATGGCTCTGTGTGCCAGCTTTGGCATACGTGCCATAGGTTTGTCATCACGGGTCTAGTCTAACGAAGAGAAGGACTAGAGGTGACATGATACTGGTCTTCCAATATTTGAAGGATTGTCACAGAGAGGAGGGAGCGGTCAAGCAGAGGGAAAAAGAAGTAGTAATGGATGAAATTAACAAAGTGAGATCTAACCTAGAAATAAGGAGTCAGTGAGAACAATTAATCAATGGAACAACTTGCATTCAGAAGTTGTAGCTGCTCTGTCACTAGAGGTTTGTAAGAACAGATTGAGAAGCATTTGTCCAGAATGGTACAGGATCTCCTGTTTGAGCAGGTTGTTGGACTAGAAGATCTCCAAAGTCCCTTCCAACTTTTTTATTCTGTAATTCTGTATCCTTTGAGAGCCACATGGCCCAATCCAATCTTTATAGGTTTCCATGAAACCATAAAAAAACTGGCGCTTTGGCAGACCATGGAATAGGATATAATGCTTTGCTCTCTGATTACAGTTTCATGGGGAATATGCGGTATTCTTATTTTTCCTTATACTTGTAGGATGTCTTTGTTTGGTTTGGTTTCAGTTCTTAAGAGTTAAGTTCAGCAGTGGCCCCCAACCTTTTTTGTGCCACGGCTCGGTACCGGCATCACAAAATCATCCGCAGCCCGGCACCGGCATCAGCACGCATGACAAGGCAAGGTGAGCCGAGCGACCGGCCAGACAGCCGTCCCCCACTTCTCCCCGGTACCTTCAACTCCTCCTTTGTACCTTTGTCAATGGGCTTCGCTTCGGGACGGCTTCGGGACGGTCGCTCGGCTCACCTTGCCTTGGGTGCTGAAAGAATCCTCATGCCTTAGTTTTGTTCGAAGCGCCCCCCTTCGATGAAACTAAGGCACGAGGATTCTTTCAGCACCCAAACGCCGCTTTCCAACTGGAAAAGCTCACCCGGAAGCACTTTCTCGTCAAACAAGATGGCGGCGCCCAGCAAACCTGCGGCCCGGTAGGAAATGTTCCACGGACCAGTACCAGTCTGCGCCCCGGTGGTTGGGGACCCCTGAAGTTCAGTACTTAAGAGTTTAAATCCTGTTGTGTAAACCATATAAAGTCACTAAATAATAGAAGTGGGAAACAAGGTGACGAATACATAAATATGCTTCACAAGTAATAAATCAATACAATGTTTACCTTCAGGCAAAGGAGAGAATGAATTCCTGTCAATGATGGGAAGCTTGCTTCAACAGTTCACAGCTTTACAAAACAAAGCCCTGAGGCAATAGGCCAACAGAAGAAACCATAATCAGAGGAAGAAAAGGGAAATGGGAAAAGTATTTTCTAAGAGCTCAGCACTGTCTCAGCACTAAAAGCAGGTGGAGAACATTGTGTACAATTTCACTGCTCTTCTTGAGAGGGTGTGCCTCTCAGAGGGCATGCAAATAAGACTGCAGTCTTGTAATAACTAAATGCAATGCAAAAGTTGAGGTTGTAAATGAAGTTAGTATTTTACTCTGCAAGACTCAGAAGTCAATCCTTTTTAAATTTTCTCTCTTTTTATCCTTCTGTCCCCCTCCCCTTTAAAAATCTTTTTTAAAAAAAACAATTTTATTAGTTTTTAAAAACAAACAAACAAAACATAAAAACATCCAGCTTTCTTTCATAAATATACAAACAGTGTGTCGGTTGGTTTACCAGTTTTGTGCATTCATTTCGTAGTCTCAGTTACAGTTACATTACATAATAACTCATATTATCAATCAGAAATTATATATCCTAGTATCACTATTAAACAATCATTTGGCTATAATTTTATTCATTCATATTTTAACTATAATAACTATAATTTACTTAGTTTTTTTTTATAACAAATCATATAGTCATACCAAATCTATCCTAAAAACATTTTATAGATATGATATCAAATAACAAAGAAAAAAAAATCTTTTTATATATTCATTATTATCTAAAATTCTAAATATTCTATTATTGTATTTTATCATCCAACCATTGATAGAAAAGGTCCCAAATTTTATAGAATTGTTTATCCTCTTGTTCTCTAATTTCAAATGTCAATCTACTCATTTCAGCACATTCCAATATTTTCTTAATAATTTCTTCCTGCAATGGTATTTTCTCATTTTTCCAATTTTTAGCAAATACAATCCTAGCCGCTGTTAATACATTTACAATCAGATATTTCAAATCTTTACTGTATGTATCAGGTAAGATTCCCAATAAAAAGATTTCTGGTTTCAAATCTATGTGTTTCTTTGTCATTTTTTCCAACCACATGCGAATTTTAGTCCAGTATTTTCTAGCATCCTCACAAGTCCACCACATATGGTAATATGAGCCAGGATGACATTTCCAGCATTTTTCAGATTTATTCTTGAACATTCTTGCTATTCTTGTCAGGGAAAAGTGCCACCTGTAAAACATCTTATACAAATTTTCTTTATAAGCTGTTGAGATTGTCATTTTATAATTCTGAGACCACAGTTTTTGCCATTTCTCTAAATCAATCCCATATCCAAAATTCTTCCCCCAAGCAATCATAGTTTCTTTAACTTGTTCTTCCTCTAGTTTAATTCCCAGTAAATAACCATATAATTTTTTAATCACCTTTTCATCAGTACCTGTCAAAATCTTATCTAGATCAGTCAGTTTATCATAAAATCCCTGTTTTAGAATCTTCATCATACCTTGAATGTATTTGCACATATGAAAACCAATTCATCTTTATACCTTGTTCCTCTAAGTTTTGCATCGATTTGAGTTCACCCTTTTCATCCAATATTTCCCCATATCTAACTGTTTGTTCCTTCTTATAAATTATAGGATAGGAAAATGCTTCAATGGTCGATAACCAAACT